TAATTGTTTTATTATACATTGAACAAAAAAGATAATGGAAGTCACGTTTCTGCTTCTTCACCGATGCCGAGCAACACAAAGCACATGAATTTGACATGATTACCCTTAAAAATCATGCACCGCAGTCATACATGACATGATTACCCGTGACCTTGAGTGTCCTTGAGATGATTATTGTAGAATCTGCAGCTAGATGACATCACGGGCGCTGATTTCAAAAAGTCACTGTACACTTTCGGCCAATCAGAAAAGAGATAGTGAATTCAATGTATATTGATGCAAACTGCTACTTACTAGAATTGACATGTATGTGCTACCATTGGCTGTTGTAACAACATTTGGTACTTCAAAATTTCTCAAAGGAGCTCACCCTTGGCAATACTTGCCTTGTCACCAACCACCAACCTCTACCCCCACCACCTGAAACCTAAAGTTGGATCAGTGATGTAAATCTCCCTCATTCAATCCTCATATTATTGCATCACGATATGACTCCAACACAGTACATCTGCCCAATCCTGAGCAGGGGTTCATTGTGAACGGGGCACAGGACAAATATTTGACCGGCTGTGAGGACAATTTTGCCTGGCTGGTTTGACCATCCAGCAGAAAGTTTTTCTTACAAAGAAGTTCAGTTCTAATAGTTTTGCCCACAGGTATGAAAATCAGTTACCCTCCTGCTGAAAACATTAATGAACCCGTGCCTGAGTTGGTACCATACATATTTTATCTATCGAAAACGTGGAATATCTGCACACAATCAAACAATTTGAAACACGATACCTGAACATTTACATTGTTTGCTACAGTTTGCAATATAAGTATAGACTTTGATCAGTCTTCATTTGAAGTTCTTTCCAAGATCACATTACATTAGAAGCTGTCTTGCAGTTTTTTTTTTTGATAGGAAGAGTAGTTACTGTACAGTAAACAAAACAAATTAAATTATATGACAGTTAATAATATATATGAAAAATTACTCAATTCTGATTGGCTGAGAGCAGTGTTGTTCTAGTGTAACACCAGTGCAAAAAGTGTAACACCGGTGGAAAAAGTGTAACACCAGTGCAAATTACACATCGTAATTCTGGATTATGATTGGCTGAAAGACAATAGGAAATTTTCACCAATGATGACGAAAATTTTGTGTAGAAACTTTGAAAAAAGTTTTCTCAAAAGCGGAAAAATGGCTTCAAGAAAGGTCTTCTGGCACTTCCTCTGTGCAAATCTTTTCATGTTTATATTATTAATAAGTGATCATATGGTTTTTCTCATTCAATTTGGAAATAATTTGCACTTGTGAGTTTTTCAAAAAGCAGCTCGTGCAATTTGAGCTTTTTGAAAAACTCACTGATGCAAATTAATTCCAAATTGAACTCAAAACCGTATGATTGCCTATACTAATGACATTAGTCTCGAAGTTTATAATAAATAGAGCTCAGGAAACCTGGGTCTGAAAATGTGGTTTGTTGAGAGTTTGTCAGTCAGTTATGATCAAAATGATCACCTATACACAGAAAAAAAATCAGCTTATAAATGGCTAACTAATGTATATTATAAATGACTAATTAAGTTGCACTCTTTTTATGTCTTAGAACCCCCAAGAGCCAATGCCTCAATATCAGAGTCAATGCAGCGTTTTGATGATGTGATCCTGGATTTTATGACAGAACAAGATATACCTGGGGCGAGTGTTGCCTTGAGTAGACATGGAAATCTGCTGTATTGTCAAGGTAAATGAAAGAATACATGTAAAATCAGTTGTGTTAACTTAGTCCTTCAGTTACTATGGAGATATCAAGTAAATTCTTATAAATGATTGTAAGACATAAAACCTTTAATTATAGGGCTTGAAAAAAATGCTGAAAACCCTAAAGATGAAATTATATGTAGCTCTTGATCTATCCCATGTGTGCCTTTTATGTCTTTGCCCATAGTGTGGAGTGTTAAACTCGATGAGCCATATCAATACTTCAGAAATGGAAACCTCTAACTTCAATTTATTTGTGAAATGCTATGATCATGACTGCACATACATTTGTAGTTTTGTAACAACAAGTAAATATAATTTTTAAAACAAGACTGAAAATTCTCTGACATCCAGCATGAACAAGGGAGGGCTAACAGCTGATTCAAGTTTTTCATTTATATTAAATCTCATCTCCGGAGTCATGTGTGCTATTTATGAATGCCTAACTCCAGGAAATATTCATACCCCCTTCCCCACTGACAGACACAGTTTTTGCTAATTGACCACCCCCCCTCCCCCCCATTCCCTTCTTTGGAAACCTTTGTACTTTCCTTTTAAAGGAACACAAGAATCGCATGCAGTGCCCCATTTAAATTTTTGCACAGCTGTTTTTCATGGCCCAATCTTTGTGTAGCCATTTCTTGCAATTGCATTTTGGGCTTTTGAGTCATTGTTCTACAGGGACTGCTCGCAGTTTAGCCTTATATGCATTCACAAGGTACCCTTTGGGTCTCTTTCATTTAATAACACAGGTTATGGCAGTGCTGGTGTTGGAAGGAAAGTCCAACCGGATTTGTTGTTCAGGATTGCCAGCATCAGCAAGACAGTTACTGCTGTAGGTATCATGAGACTTGTTGAAGAAAGAAAACTTTCCTTGGAGGATATAGTGTTTGGACCACAAGGTAGACAGTTATGTGTGAATTTGTTTTGGACATCTTTTTGGGGGCTTTAGTAATCAAAAACTGTCTGTTTCCAGGTTTGTGAATGTCAAAAGAAAGTAAATGAAAACGATAAGGAGCTGTAAGCACCGGGTTGGATTTACAAAGATAGCCTGTGGTATTCTGTACAGAAAATAAGTAGGTTTAGTTACATTTAAAAGATGTGGAAGACTTTTAAAAGTTGGTCTTTATTTTTGAGGAAAGGAAATAAGTGGTAGGAAAGGAGAAGCTTAATAAGAAGCTTGCTATACATACAAGCATAAAATTCTACTGTTTCTATGTTCAAGGAATTTTGAGTGAGTACACTCCAACAGAGAATGGAGACAGACGGATTGTGGACATCACGGTAAAACATCTACTGCATCACTCTGCTGGTTGGGACAGAGACAAGGCTGGGGATCCTGTGTTCTGGAAGGTTGGCAAGTACATGGATGTTGCTGAGCCTGTGGCCCCTGGAGTTTTGATAAAGTATATGATGGGAAGAAAGCTTCAGTTTGGTCCAGGTGAGTGAGAATATGGAGAGAGATCATCGCTACGCTAGCGCGCTCATTTGATTGGCTGTGATTTGTTACAAAGTGTTCCTGTGAAGTGTTTTAAAACACTGGGCACTTTCTATTCTGCCAAAAATTCTGGGATTTTAGAAAGGAGGCAAATGGTTCGGAAACTTCCTTGGAAAGCTTCCACAAAATCCGAAAATTGTTGAATTTCTGAAAAACGAACTATTCAATCGAAAATTCCTGAAATTCCGGGAGGAAAATCAAATGGAACAGAAATTTCCGGTAAGAAATTTTCGAAAATATGGATATTCCTCCCGAGGTTGTTCTCTTCTCCGGAAATTCCGGGAAATTCTGTTTCATTCGACACGGGAAATTCCAGGAAATTATAAAAACCGGAATTTTTGGTCGAATGGAAAGCGCCCACTGTCACCAATCTGCAGCTCACTTACACGACTTGTTACGTGATAGTTAATTATCACGACGCTTGTTCACATGACATGACACAATTAAATGAAATTCAAGTTCCTTGCTGTTGCTTTCAAAGGCAAAAGACACGCCTATTCCAATCTCGGTTATACCGTTTTGGGACAAGTGATCGAAAGAAAGACAGGACAAGCCTATGAAGAATTCATGACGGGTCTGTTGAAGAGTGTGGGTATAAACCAAATGAAAATCGGCCGAACTCGGAAGAAAGATCTTGGCGATGAAGAGGTAAGAGCTGGTGTCTTAAGGAGCTATCCCTTTCTCGGCGTTTTTGGAATCCCCTTGATCTCCCTTATTGGGAACCCCCCTCCCTTATTGGAATCCCCTCTCCCGCTATCTTCTTAGACATGCGAAATTCCGAGGGATATGGCTTCCTAACCTACAGTGGCCTCCTTTAGACTCATTGCTATTTAACCCCAGGCCACCCCAGTTTTTTTTAAATTCAAGATGGCGCTCGCTCCCTCAAAGTCTCCTCGCTTTCTCAAAATACGCCAGCCTTGCTAGCTACAACATTGGTGACAAGGGTTGGGCAACCTCATTCTATACGCATTTTGCCCCTCCCCACCCCTGTGAAACACTTTCATCCAACACAAGTTTGCATTTTGCCATTTTCCATTCTCCAACATTGAGGGGAATGGTGGTGGGGGGGNACGTTAACCGATAGATTTTCAGATTAAGCCTATATGTTTATTGTCCATTGTGGACATTTGTTTTTAGGTGGAATATTTTCACAATCGCCATCCAAGGATGGTGAAGTCAGTATTTCCCGACGGGGGCAGAGTGCCTCCACAGTATGGGAGGTGGACCATGGAAGAGGCTGATGCGCATGGCGGGTGGACCGCGACCGCTGCTGATTTATTGCACTTCCTCCTCGCTCTGGAGCATGGTGTGAATGGTGGCAGAATTATCTCAGCCGAAACTTTTGGAACAATGCTTGAAAAACCGTCCTTTGAAAAAGACGCGGAAGAATGGTACGGGTTTGGTCTTGACATCCGAGACAATGGTAGCACTTGGGGTCACAGCGGACAAATGGAGGGTACCTCGGGTGTTTTAACGCGCCACTGTGGGGGATATGCTTGGGCACTGTTGTTCAATTCCTGGGCTAAAGACTTGGATCTAGACGGCTTGGTGAAGTATGCGTTGAGTCGCATTGCCTCTGTTACAAATCAACATATTTCATGTGTCATCCCCGACGCCATAAGGACAGAGGACAATCGTCAGGTCATTAAATTGATGATACCAGTCAGTGATTTCTGGTCATTGTATGAAGATTTGAAACGAGGAGGATTTGATTTGACATGGCTTAACGCCTATAAAATGGCGGATGCTGTACACTTTAACACGATTTTCATTCAAAGCTGCGGCTTAAAGCCGGCTACCACTGTTTATATTGGATTAACAGCCGACTCGTGTCGCGACCATGTTAACAGTCTCGTTGGTCTTCGGCCTTTCCATATCGAGAGCTACGTCGAAAACAACGAGCTTCTGTATGCTGTGCTTTTAACTCCTACAAATGGAGTGTCATGGACGTTAAATTACGATCTCACTGTCGCTCAACATCGAAAAACCATGCCCATAATGTTTAAAAGTGATTACAACTTAACAGTACAATGCCTAACTGAGTTCAAGGGTCGGTTACACGTGACAGCTCTATACGAAAAAGTCCCGAATGGCGAATGCATCGCCGAATTTGACCTTAAACCGGATTATTACCAGTTTGAATTTCACAAACAAGCCAAGCAGGGTGTGACGTTATCTTACGTCAGGGCCTATCACGTGAAAAGCAAACCTCGGTTTAGTGTAGTCTGGACCAATCAGATTGCGCGCTTAAGCGGAACAAGGCATAACGTTTCCAAATATGGCTTTTTGTTCGAGCTTGAAGAAGCAGCAAAGAAGAATTTTTACGCGCAGTGCATCAGTTGTTATGTAAGTGAAGATGTCCTTAATTTTGTTGCATCGTGGAATAAAGAAATAGTTCAAGAAAACTGAAACCCTGGACCCGGTTGTTTCCAATTTAGTTGTTTTTCAACGTAGCGCCATGTTTACGTTTCTCTTTCAAAACTGGGAACCTCTCAGTGACTTGAAAATAACCTTGGCCTGTGATCAAGCTTTATTGCATTTGCGCTTGGTAAACCGTTGTCTTTTCGCCAGTCATATAGTAGCAATAACAGAACTCTAATTTTAAGAGGTTTCAGTAGCATGAAGCAACAAGAAGTATACCCGAGGAGTATATTCTCTCAAAAGACGTACAATGTTTCCTGGGATCAAAGCCAACATTTAACTGATTTATTTTTTAAATAACATAGGTACATAAATACATCACGAGCCCGGAAGCAATCTGTCTCGTTACGATCTTTGTTCGTATTTCTTATGTGTGAATAATTGAGACGAATCAGTTTACCAGTTCGCTTCTCCTTGGTTGTTCACTGGGGGGATAAAATACCTTTCCAGCGTCTGTTTTATAACAGAATAAATGAGCGTTTTGCACTAGAATGTGATCTATCCGGCGGACTAATTTTACGTTATCCACCATCTTAGCGTTTTGATACTTTTCATTATCGCCCGCAGGCTTTGTTTGTCATACATTTTCCTATGACGTGTTGTTATCTCCAAATCTTTTTCCTGTTATGTCAAGTGTTTCAGTAACTTTATCCTCTTGTTATAGTGTCAGGGGTGTAATATTTCCTTGCTATCTTCCTGAGTTTCATCTCTTTATATCTTCCTTGGGTTCTACCTCTCCTTTGGGGTTTAGTCTCGTTAAAATATCTCTGTGGAGTTCTACCTCTGGCTATCTTGCTATCTCCCTGGCTGTCTTCCCGAAATTTTACGTATTGTCTCCAAGGGCTTTCACCCCTTCTTTTAGTTTCTCCCTGATGTTATATATCACTCGCTCTCTCCCAGTGGTTTTACTTCTCACTATGTTTCTGAAATCACATCTTTTGCCATCTACTTGGGGCTTACCTATCACTCAGTCTTCCTTAATTTTTTAACCTCATGCTTTCTCCCAAATATCTCCAGGGGGGTAAAACTCTGGAATTCGCTTCCCGCTGCACTCCGCAACTCAAACTCCTTGCCTTTTTTAATAGAATTAATGCTAATGTATTAGCTGCGTTAGCATTTTAAATCTGTTTAAGTAATTAGTGTCTTAAAGTTAGTACTAGTAATTAGTAATACATAATTATAGAGTAAATAACTTAAGATAGTATTAATCTTCCTGGTTTTGGCTTATAGCCACATGCCCCTTGCATGTGGACATCAGCTTTTTGCCTTGTATTTTGTAGTTGACGGAGGAAGCGTCTTTAATTAAAGTTTACCTACATACCTACCTACCTACCTACCTACCTACCTACCTACCTACCTACCTACCTACCTACCTACCTACCTACCTACCTACCTACCTACCTGCC